TTTATTTAGTTAGTTTTGAGCTACAAATGCTAAAATATTGTTGTTGTTGTTGTTGTTTTTTTTTTAATTGTAAATTTATTTCACAAAAGATACAATCAAAATTCCAAATCTATGTTAAAACATAACAAAAAATTGTTATCAATATTGATGAATTTGGCATAAACGAATGACTGAAAAAAAGAGATATTCAAAATCCACACTTTAAGGTCACAACTTTTCTTATATCCCGAATATAAAATTAAATTTTATCCAATAAATTATATCTCTATTATTTATCACAATACTACATATTTTCACTATGATTTTATTTCGTGGTGGTAACATTCCGAAAAAAAAAAAAACTAAAAGAATGAGGTGTCTATGCAATTCACAATTACTAAGTGGAGAGCAACCTTAGTAAATATCGATCTACGGTAGCCAAGTGTAATGTAATTTTATGGAAAAACACAAAGATTTTAATAATGTATGACTTTTTCATGATGAACATTTTACGGTTACATAACAAATGCTCTATGTATTATAACTTATTGATTAATAGTCTTCAGTTACAAATTTTACCAAGACAAATACAGCCCGTGCATCGCACGAGGTTACGTACTAGTAATTTTTAAAAATGAGTAAAACTACTACTTTGCTTTTGTTTTGTGTATTGTGAAACATTTAATTAATCAACCAATCAACAAGCCGTTAAAATTTTACTAAATGGGGTCTGATGTATGGATCACACACGTCATCGTTAAAAGCACATATCCTCATTCAAAGTTTGAATATTTTAGATCATTATTTATTGTCTCCTTCCAAGTTTTCTTAAGTCTATCCCTCCCCCTTTTAGTTGGCGTTCTTAATTCTAATATTTCTATCATTCTCACATGTGTCTCGAAGTCTCTCCTACGCATATGCACAAGTCATTTTAATCGTGATTTTTCATTCTACCACAACTTTATTTTTAGTACTTTCATTTCTAATAATATTTAACCTAGTATACCCACACATCTATCTCAACATTCTCATCTCTACCACTCGCATTTTCTGATCATTTTTATATTTAGTAGTCTAGAATCCATAAAGTATCACCGGTCGAATGGCCGTTCAATAGAACTTGCATTTCAAACTCACTGGTACTTTACGATAACAAAGTATCGACGAGCGTGCTCCTCCACTTGTTCCAGCTCGATTGAGTTCTATGTGTTACATTCTTTATCATTGTGAAACATTAATTATACACCAATAATATTTAATAAAAAATTACTTTTATTGTTTTATTAATGTAATTTATTTAAAAGCATGCAAACATATGTGAAATAAATATTATTTATATTTAAATTATTTTTTCTTCATTTAAATTTTACTCCTTTTGAAATTTTTATATATAGCTGAAAGTAACTCGTTTAATCCGAAATTCACTAGGATTTAACACGTTTATCAAATTTGAAAGAGTCTTGTATCTCTTAAAAAACAAGAATAAATCTGATGCTAGTTAGAATTTAACATGTCTAAATGGTTATAATTTGTTACTATCATTAAAAAACATAACACACACACACACAA